GGAAGTTTTCTGGACACAAAAATTATGAGCTCTTCTCCTTCGGCTAATTACTATCGGCCTACTGAGGAGCCAGAACCGCTCGATTTGACACAATTAAACATCGAAGCGAGCGTAATGTGCCTGGTTAGCAAAATCAAATTTCTCTGTGGTCGTTGTGGTAGCCCAGCAATACGTCTGAGGCACCCAAAAACTAATATGAAACGCGCTGGCTTCACGCACTCGCCTGCCCCGCCAGATCTAGTGGTTAATCAAATTAAAGTTGCAGACATCGAAGAAACTGATCGGGCCGCAGAAGGTGAACAGACAAATGCAAATGGCAATGGATTGATTTTGGACTTAACGCAGGATGTTGAAGCCCAAACACAACAATCGACGACGGATAAGGAAACCATCGTGGCTCAGAAAAAAGGAAACAAATTCACGGACGGTAAGTGAATGTATTGTAATTATTTTTCTTTTTTATGGTTGTTGTTGTTGTAACCGCATACAAATTCCCAAAGAGTTTTGTGGAATGCTGCAGTTATAAATTTAGGATGTTCCGCCGGTCATGGGAACATATTTATTTTAATAATTTTCCCTTATTCCTAAAAAATTTTAAAGGTATTGAAAACCTCAAAAATTTTACTTAGCTGTTGAAAATTCTTTGAAAAATACTTTTGGGGTTTCCAGTTTTTAAGTTCATTGGAACCAACTAGTCAATTAATCGATGATGCGAGTTCGATTGCTGCTGAAGTTAGAGAAAGAAGTCAGATGAGATGTGTTGATCTCCGAAATAGCTGCTTAAGCTCAATAATACTATTGAAATTAATGTTAAATTTTCGCTGAAAACCAACTGGATGTAATAATAGCAACTATTATGATAAACAAGTAAAAATCATAAAGTGACTATTAAATTCGAACGAAAAGTTTTTAAAAATGTTGCCACCTAAAAAGAGAGCTAGCTGCTTATGGGAGTCATTACCTCTGATGTGAGTGTTGGTCCAGCCTTCCAACACGTGTTGTAGTAGTAGAATATTTAATTTCCATACAACGAAACCCCCCGGTTCTAAGTGAATCTTTATCCCTCAAACCTTTCTAGCTTCTTCACTGTACAAAACCGAACACTTTTCCGTACGAAACCCCACTATTACAACCTGAATAAGAGAGGTCAAGCTACACTGAGGGCATACGGGTCGATGGCAATACAGATCCGGCCGTAGATTAGCCGAAAATTGTAGTGGTTGCCTTTGACAGCACACAACTGCAATAGTCAATAAAAAACAGAGCCGTAACAAAGTCCTCGAATCGCTCGGGGCAAAGACAAAAACAGATTGCTAGTGACATACTCTAAGGGGATGAATAAACCAATCTTTATATCAATAACAATGTCGATGAATATGATGAAAATTATCTTTTTTTTATTTTATAAACTCTATTTTAGGCCTCGACTTATCGCTTACCACTGATTGGGCTTCCGAGTTGCGCCCTTCAATGCGCAAACTACGTCACGCTATGGATGGTCTATTGAAGACGGCGCGGCTAATGCATTCTGTGCAGCGTCTGCAGCAAGATATGAAACGCAACAGCATAAATTTAGAAATTATGTATCGCAGAGATGTGTGCTTTTCACAAGCGGTAAGCAATTTGCACCAAGCTAATACATAATCTTAAAAATATTTTCAACTTTTATGAACAAATGTTCCTTTTCAAAGTTGACTGCCCTCATCAGTGCACTGATGGCCAAATTATGGAGCACTGAAATAACGGAAAACTTCATAAAGATACTCAGGGATTTAGGACCACTTGCGTACTTTGAAGGTCTGCTATCACTATATGGCAATGAGACGGATATGTGGGGTGATATGTGTGTCGCCATCGAGGATCTTTCTGCAGTGAATTTCACGCTTATACGTAGTAGCGCACAAAAGTAAAAGAATATCATAGAATTATGTACTATCTCAAATTTTACTAAAACTCAATCATCTCGTCTCCACCTTTCCACGTACAGCAGCGATGCTCACACGCTGGTCCCCATGCCAAGGGTTACAGGTTCGCGACAGGCTTTGAATGTGCTGCTGCCAGTGCCAGAACATGTGTATGCTATCGTGCCAACTCAAGAGACGTTTACATTCAAACTAACACCGGTGTTCTTCAATATCGGAATTAACGAAAAGGCTACGCTGGCTGAGACTCTAGGTCAAACACGCGAACAACATCGTTCCAATTGGGATAACTTTGTTCGTCTGAAACAGTATTATAGTCGATATCGTAAGTTGCAGCTGGTTAAGCCTGACACGCCCAGCAAGCATGAACCTCATCCGCCAGCACCACAAGCGCTTGCCAACATACTGGGTTTTATGGAGGAACAGCTGCGTTCAAATGTATCGAAAAATGTGAAAATTTTACACTTGGCTGAAGATGCTTGCCGTCTGATGTCAGGCTTGCGTTTTACCTCATGCAAAAGTGCCAAAGACCGTACGGGTATGTCGGTGACATTGGAACAGTGTCGAGTGTTGGTTCAAGAATTCCATTTACCTGCCAAAAGTGTGCCATACGTACTGAGCACGATGAGAAGGTAGGACCATTGGACTTTGCTGTTTTAATATTTTATGTTTTTTTTTATAAATGTACAATCTATGTTTTGGTCTTAGCGAGGGCACGCGCATGGACAATGTCTTCAAGAATATCGGTAAGCGAAAGTACGCATTTAATCTGCCACAGGTGCTTTCATTGCCGGCTATGTACCGGCCAGCAGCAGGTTCCTACGGCAAGGCGGAGACTTAAAATCGACTAAAATTTGAAATAAAGCAAAAAGGAAAGCGGCAAGACTTAAGCCATTGAAAAGGCAGTATAAAGTATAGGTAAACCGGATTAGAATTTAGTTTTTAAGAACGAACCTACATTAACCTCATAAACTAGGTGAAATTAGTAGAGTTGAGTAAAAAAACATAAACAGGCAGGTTATGCAATTCACTTCCGAGTGAATTTCAACCCCATTCAATTTCAATTCAAAGTGATTATGGTTGAAATTCACTCGGAAGAGAATGGCAGAACCTGCCTGATAATACCAAAAGAAAAAACGAATTCTCAACTTGATAAATCAAATTGTTATATGAATTTAACCCAGTAGAAAAGCATATTTAAATAAGAATATAACCTCAATTTTGCACAATCTTAATTTAGAGCAAAAATTAAAAGCACGATGTGTATAATTTTGCATCGTAATTTTAAGCAATTCACATGAGCGTCGTCGTGCAAGCATATCTATAAATTTTGTTAATTCCACGAAAGAAGTTTTATTTCGTTTTTTTTTTATTTATTTAACTTCGCTACCAACTTTAATTTGATGCTGGTGGGAAAATTTTCAAGCCTCGGTTTTAGTTCTTGTTTCTACTTATAAGAGGCTCAGTGCAATGACTGATTTTCATGAAATCAACTCCACTTTGTTAGTATAATGCATAATTACCCAATAGTCGAACAAATGGCGGACTTTAATATTTGAGCTTAGTACTTATAATTTCTTGTTAATGTTTATGAACTTGTATGACCTTGCGTATTTCTTTGCTTTTAACATTTTTTTTGTTTTAATTCTAATTACATACTATAAAGACAGCCCCTTGATAATGTGTACCTTTGAAGATGAACTATAATCGGTTATAAAAAAGCTGAGTTAAAAAACAAGATGCTGTTTGAAAATTAAGGGTGTTGCGAAATTAATATTTCTGCAGACAAATTTCCATCTTAAGAAATGAACTAACCGTCATTATGTTTATGACATCGCTGATCAAAAATCTGGAAAATAGTTTTCTAACTCTTTTCTCTGGTTTGCACCGCGAAAGCACTGATTTTAAAGGCTTTCGCAGGGTAATATTGCAAAAATAAAGCTTTCAAGTCGCTTTAAGTTCGCTTCGGTCGAACCGCCAAGCGTGTCATCTCTTTTAAGCTATGAATAAATTTTGTTTGTACAATTTTCACTTGTATTGGAAATATATGTGATTGATGCATTACCATTTTAACGAACGACAATTTAATACAATTAACAATTGTGCCAAATATTTGTTACTGACAAAATAATATGTAATTGTTTGATATCTTTAATGCAAATTCTTAAGTTTCTATACTTGTGTGGGTATGAAAATATAAACTCCACTTCCCTTTTTCTGAAAGGAATCCCTTAAACCAATAAAAAAAATATATGCCAAATATTGGGAAGTGAAATGTTGATAGTATTAAAATGTTTAACATTAGTTTAAACTAATTTTAAATAAAAGCAAAAAAAAAATACGAGTATCGAAAATGGAGTTTTTATTTTTATACCTGACACCACCTGTATAATCTAAAGCATTCTTGTTATGCAAAGGCGCTTTTATTAAAAATATCTATTAAAGTTTTCTATTTGTAAGAATTTTTTTGTTAGTATTTTAATGCAATCCTTAGGAGTTTATACATACATATATAAAAAACGAAAATATAACGAGAATGTGCTATGTAAACGGTTGTAACGTATGTGGTGATGTGGCCACTTAACCACATAGATTTTATCTTATTAGAAAACCAAAATTTGATTAAATCCAATTTACGTTAGTATTTATTTATGTATAACATGTAATAATAACCTGATAATAAACTTTTACTAGTGACTATGCATGATAATGTCTATGAATTTGTAGTTATATAGCGAACAGATGAAACGACCGCTTCCGCATGGTACGGTAGTCAAAATTATATGATTTTTTTTATCATTTTCGCTTTAAAGCGCTACAAAATATGCATTTTGTCTTCAATTGCAGATTTAGGTACAAATTGTGTACCGTAACTCATATGAACTCGTGTGAACACAGCCTAATAATGATCAGATATCAATTGTGAATGGTGCGGGATTTCTTGCTGCACATTTCTGCGCGCCTGGTATTTTCGGCTAAATTTTGAGCCGCGATCCCTACTACAGTGATCCCTCGATTATTTGAACGATCTTTTTTTTTAAATTTTCCGGGACTTGCGTTAAAGTTTCCTGCATTTTAATTCAAAACACACATCTATTTATAACATTTTAATATACGTTTACTATATTTTTTTCTAAACTGTAAAACACACCGCCTAATTTAGAATTATATCGCTTATTTGTAATCATTAATGCGCCCGATGCCCAGTCGACGTTTGCGTATTTCTGTCTTTAACCATGAAGGCACACCACGTATTGGATGTGCATTTGGAAAACGCAACGGTTTTTCGGGACCTTCAAAAGGATGCGTTTTCGCTAATTTGCGTTCTAGGTATTCCTTGTTAACTTCCTTAGGATCACGGTGGCGATCCAGATACAAATTAAAGGCCTGCTTAAGAGGGAAGAATTTCTGATCAGCCAGGTATGGCTTGGGGAAATCATATTCGAATATCGGCTCCTTCATATCTAAGAAAAATCGAAAACTTTTGATAAAAACTAATATACGCGTAATATTGTGCGAGATATTCTTACTCAAAGCATTGTGGTAGAACTTTGTAAGTGAGCTATCCCAATCGCTTTGGAAAAATGCCAATCCAGCTGGTGTAATATTATCCTGCTGTTCGCGATAGAAATCAAGTGTTTTAAATGTACGCTTCTCCAAATTATACTTGTCGCTCGTAGGGAGTTTGTATTTGCTGAAATCTAATTTGCCGTTTTGTTTGTACAGCACAAAGATCATACGTTGATAGCCCACGCCCTTTGGTGGAAAAGGTGGTAAGTAGTCTACGAGCACTTCACCCTTCTTAACGTCACCATTTGGAATATTCGATCTAAAAAATTAAAGATAAATAAGTTTTTTAAATCAATTTCGCATCAAACACCTGAAAACCTTACATAAACCAGTGTACATATTCAGATGAACTGTCGGAAAAGTGTGCATCTGGGTTAGAGGCAACAAGCGTCCAGAAAAAATCACCTTCAGATTTCTGCAAGTAGTTATTATAGATTAGATAAGAAAAAGTTTTCCATTAAACCACTTTTTGTTGAGAAAAAATTTTTAATTTAACTTGCCTTTCCTGTTATTGGATCAATCGTTCCATCAAAGGTAACCTCTGGCGCACTTACTGCCTCTGCAGGCTTTATGACGTTGCCATTATAAACAAGGCCGTGTGTATCGCCATCCATGTGATACTGAAAATTTGAAGATTTGCAGCAATATTTAGTTATCCTTTTTTTAATTTAATATATGGTGGACTTACCTTCACATTTAATACAACGCGCGGCACAAAATATGCCAAACCGAATAAATCGTCAAAAATGCCATAATGGTCAGCAATCACACGCAAATCATATTGTCCATTAGTGGCCCGATATTCTGACTGTACTTCATCCAGATCAATAAGTACTGAAAGTGCATTGTTTTACTAATGTAAGAAATCATTTAACTGAGTGTAATTCTTACATTTGTTGGAGCGAGCCAACTTCTCCACTTCTTCGCTAGATCGTTGTGCTTTCAAGTGCGCCAGGCGCTCCTTCAATTGTTCAGAGCGTGAAGGTTTCAAACGTGGAAACCCAATGTTAACACGCGCGGTTAGCTCGGGGTCTTTAGCATTTTCCTCTGAAATAAAAACAAACAAAATATTTAATTACACTTGCTAATACGTAACATTCGATGGACAAACTACTAGCACGCTGCAACGGTCACCTACCCTGCAAACGTTGCTCCAATGACCTAGCGACTCCCGGCCGTTTGCCACGTATTGTGTGCCCCAAGCGCGCAGTTATTAGCAAAGGATTATTTTTATATATAACAGTGTTTAAATAGTTCCTCACTAATAAATTAGTTAATGCCATTTTTTCCAATCCAATCAATGAAAAATACAACCTAACATTTCTTCGATAACGGAACAGCTGTTCGCCGGCTGACAATAATCGGAAAACAGCCACCATTCACGGTAGATAATGCAAAACGTTAAGCTACGCCTACAACCTGACCGTATCGCGAATGGTAATGCGATTTGAGGAAAGTTTTAATGTCACACCGGAATTTAGAGGCGACTTTATTCTGACTATGAATATGCCCCTATAGACTATATACTATTCTTAAAACGGCCATGATAGGCAGTATCGGGAAGTTCATTAAAAATTTGCATTGTATTTAAATCAGGGGTATACGGCGACCATTTTTTTCTGATAAGGTACATGCCTACACACATATGTATGTATAGTATATTAGACCATGAGAGCCAAAGAAGCCTAGCTAATAAAAAGTTAAGTTAATAAAAGTTAAGTGTTTCGACTCTCAAAAATTGGTTTCGAGATAAATTATTTTAAAGTTGTAAGTATGTATGCGGGGTGATCGTTAACAACCCGTTAATACCGCTTCAAAAATTATACAGCTTTTGTACCAAATTCTATATTAGCGGTTCTCCTTAATACGAATAACGGCAGTTTTTTAGGTGCTTAATAAAAGGTTCATTCCCGTAAAATATATTTTATATTTCTAGCAAATGGTATCCGACTTTTAAGATTTATGAAAAATTACATAAATATACATATGTACATATGTATGTGAATACATAATTGTACATGCAATCAAAAGAAAAAAAGTTTTCAAAACTGTCCTCACCAATATTCACATCCCAGATATTGGTATTTACAAAAGTTGGAAATAAGTATCAATCAGAGATGTAATTGCACGTGTTTGAGACAACTTTAATAAAGTATGCTTAAAAAGTCCAGACTATGCTAATAAGTAGATATGTATGCACATATGGATGTATGTATACATACAAATATATTTGTTTATATCGAAGTATGCACATACCTATGTATGTATGTAGATACATATTTTATGATGGTGGGTAATCAAAATCAAAAAATCAATAGCTGCTGCGCCGAGTTCTCTCGCCGAAAAAGGGCATACACCAAAAAGCCGGGAAATCATATGGCTATAAATTATACATAAGTATGTATGTGTATGTCCATACCACATGGACGCAACCCTCGCTCCGGCAAGCATTGACTCAGTTTGTCTTCAAGGCAAAACAAAAAACTGAGAAGCGGCGCAAATTTTTTTGACGCATGCGCTCAATGCACCAGCCCAACCCGGCATGCACAGCGCGCAGTGCAGTCACTGGCCGCACCGGTGGTCGTCGTCATGTGGCCCAGCCCAGGGCTGAGTAACCCGGCCGTTACTAACGTGCAAAAACGTGGAGACCGGTGCAAGCACATTACATATGTACATACATACAATCTACAAAATGTGTGTGTTTATTTGTAAGGAGCACAAAGCGCTGTTGCCAAATTTCACACACAAAGTGTGCGCGAAATTTATAAGCGACTCAAACATTGGAACTGATGTGTAGCAACTGCATACTTTTTAGGTATGCATGTATGTACCTTAATATAGAAAGGCCCTATCTCACATCGTCGCTGAAATAAAAAAAGCTTTAACTAAATAAAAAAACAAAATTCCTTTTTTGATTTATTAAGAAGCATTTCATCGAATTATATGTAAGTCCGCACGTCAGTTTAGGCAATAAAAAATTTTAGTTAGTTACGGCTTTTTGCATTTCAACGACTATATGAGTTAGGGCCTTTCTATATTGAGGTAACGATATGTATGTAGTTTTGCCTATAGCCATGAATGGGAGTGGATTTTAATAAAAAAAAACTAACGCATTCTGTGTGCAAGCAACAGCAACAGCACCGAAATAATCTTTTCTTTTTTTGGCGTACTTTTAGGCGCATTGCCATTGTTTAGCGATGGTTAAAGTGCACCAACCGCAGCGCTGGCAAGATTTCACTTTTTATGAAGTGTGCGCCTGAAATAAATATCTCGAGGTTAAACCGGTCTCAAGTGCTGTGGTGCATTTGCAGCAGCGTTTTAATATTTTATGCAAATAATATGTATGTATTTATGAACATTTGTAAATGTACGGCTAGCCCAGATGGATTGTGGGTGAGGTTAAAAATACGTCATCCTTTACTGCATATTCTGCATTCATTTCCCTTCATTTCCTGAGCTTACATACAAAATAAACGTGCATACATTATATATGTATGTATTTTATACTATCCCCTTCTTTTGGCCAGTAAGTGATTGTTTTCTAAGTATAAATGCAAAGAACAGCACAAAAAGAAAATGGGAAATTGGTGTTCTTCCAGCATACGTACATACATATATCGTCGCCTGAGTAAAAGATTGTCGTATGTTACGCACGTACGTATGACGCTTACGACAATCTTTTACCCACGCGACGAATTGTAAATGGATAAAAGTTTATAATCCATCATACGTGCATTTATGACTGTGAACAACGTAGGATAGGATAGAGTAATAATGTACAAACATGCTTACATACATGTTTATGTGCAAATATAAATTTGAACTTGAACTTGCACTCTTCTTTTACACTTATTTTACCGGTGTAAGTACTGGCATACAACAAATTCTGTCTCTGTTTTCTTGGTTTAGGGCACACCCAATTATTACAATAATCTAAGAATATGTGTTTCGACCTATAGCATTTGACTGCCATTTCTAATGTAAAACTTGCACCTGAATCCGAATACGAAATCAAATGTTAAGTAAGTAGAACAGTTTTCGAGATATAGCTAAATTTCCATTTTTCGAGTTTTGAAAAAACGTAATTTCACTAAACTGTCATTATCTCCGGACGTAGTTAGCCAATTTCGAAGCTTTTTTTTATGATACTGAAGGTAATTAAATATGCCATCAATAGTGTGTGCAACACTTTTCAATCAAACTGTCGGTTTAGAAGCCATTTGTGAATTTTTCGAGAAGTTTGCATCATTTTTAACAAAATTTCACAAAAACTCTGTAAATTTCGTCTTAAAAAAAAACATGATTACATCCGGTTTCTTTATTGGACGTCAAAGTGTGATCTTTTAGGAAGAAAATAAACCCTATCCTATCCAAATTGAATTGAAAATGTAGAAGTCATAAGCACTTAAGTAAAAATTCAGAAAATCCATTTTTTCTAATTCACATCACACAAGTTTACAGAAATCAAAAAAATTTCCACTGAATCTGAATACGAATTCAAAATGTAAGGTAGTAGAACCGTTTTTGAGATATACCCAAAATTCGGGTTTTCGAGACCTGAAAAAAGTGCAGTCACTTAATTAGAATTTTCTTTAGATATAGTTGTCCAACCGCGACATTTTTAAATGAAAATTTTTTTCAAATCTCGAAAAAGGAAAATTAGCTATATCTCGAAAACTGTTCTACTTTCTTAATGTTTGATTTCATATTCGGATTCAGCGATAAATTTTACATTAGAAATGGCAGTTAAATGCCACAAGTCAAATCACTGAAAACTGGTGTTCTCCGAAGCAAATAACGAACGTGTTTATCAAATAAGTTGGTACTACTTACATACATACATACATACATACACATAAATGCGAATTCGAGAAAAAAGTTTTAAACTTTTCGAATGTAATGTAAGCCTTAAGGGGAAACCGAAATATGTTCGTCTATAACTTTTTAAATAGCCTAGCTGCCGAGATGGGGATTTCACATACACATGGAATAGTAGTTGCACAATACTATACCATATAACTCAATTCTTTCTTAAGTATATATGTACATAGGGTATGTATATACTATATATACGGTGACTCATAGAATTATTTTGCATTGATTTTTTGATATTCGAAATGTTTTTCATATACAATTTTTTCATATTTTTTTTAAATGTGGTTTATAAAGTATACAACAATAACGACGTAAATTAAAATTACTTTGATGGAAATTAAGGTAAATTCAGCAAAATTTCAAACTATGTAATGAGCATTTATACAAAAAAGCCAAATAGACAGTTTTATATCCTATTCAATTTTAGTAAAATAAAAGGCAAGTTCATTTTAAATAATTTTTTTTCTTTTATTCATCAATACAAAAAGATTGGTTATAGGAAAGAAAATACCAAAATTTTAAATTTCGGATACATATGGTTTTTGTCGTACAATCTATATTAAACAAAAAAAATGCCATGAAAAACACTTTGAATGCCGAAAAAATCAATGCAAAATATTTCGTTTTCAGATCATATAATCATATATTTGAACTGTACTAAATGGCCAATAAATGGCTATTTAAATATGAGATATGCATATGATAAGCTCTGATCCAATACTTTTCGTGTAAAATCCTGTAAAAATGTCAAACAGCAAAATTACTCTCTGAAGTGAGAGTAAAAAGTGAGTAACAACAAAAAGGACGAGAACAAAAAAATCATTTTCATGATGATCAAATCATGATCGCTTGATACTTTTCATGATTTTACAAGAAGAAAAAGTTCGGGTAAAATCTTGCAACTTCATTCTCTACACAACTCTCCAAAAATCGCTCTCATTTACAGGAAAAATAAATTTTGTTGGAAGTTCGAAAATATGCACACTAAACTTCAGAATTGGCTTGGATTTTTCTTTGTAAGCAGCATCAGGCGGTTTAATGTACATATGTACATAAGTAAACGTTATCACTCCCTTTCATTGATGCAGTGTTAATTTTTGGCCCACAGCTGTACCCATGCATGTGAAGTAAATATATGTATATGTATATGTATGTATGTATGGATTTATATATAAATACATGTGTAGATATGTACATACTTAGGCACATGGATACATAAATGTTTTCTTTTCTTCCTACTAACATTTCGATTATAACTTTTGTATGTGCCTTGCATATATAATTGATTACGAACATCCGTTGGTATGTTTATTTTTAAATCCTTAACTAATAAATTTGACATAAATGGCATTTAAGGCGGCGATATCTACGAGTATTTTCTGCTGGAAGTTTAGAGAATATTACATACATATGTACATATGTATCTGTTGGCTTTTGACAAAACAACCTCGGTGCTTTCTGTAGGTTAGAAT